GTTTGAAATTATGAAATGAAATTAATATGCGCGAGGAAGCTTCGAGAGAACAGTTGTGAAGGAATGAATAAAGGAACGATGATTGCTACTGTGCGGGTTATGTATTTAAATATACATTCATAAATAGAATTTCAACGTATATTAATTTTTGAAAATTCAAAAATATCCTGATCGTTTCGAATAAATACTTTTCACGGGAGCAATTCATCGCGATCTTTTATTGAAAGCATAGTAGATATTCATGCACATGTCTTAGAGCATTCTTCAAAACGGGGGGACATCCTTCGCGCCCTCTCGGATGTCCCCTCGTAAATTTCAAATGTCTGGATTTTAGCGAAGTGTCTGAAAAAATGTTCGATTAATTCATTCAAGTGTGTTTTAATGTTCGTTTCGATGTTATAATTAATTGGACACTCGGCTGAGATGCAGACGATTCTCATGGATCTCGACCTCGATCGTACGGACTTCGAAAATACGAGTCGAAATGAGTGTACACGACGTTTACAACAATTTGACGTGATGGTCGTAATCCCATATCACACTTCCACAAGAGAATTGTCACTGGATAAACGAATTTTCAATTCTCATTTCATTTCATTGCGTGAAATATCTTCTCATCCATTAAAGTACGATTTAACTTAATCTAAATTAATCGATATTTAAGATAATTATTATTTTAATTTTGTTTAATAATATCTATAGTGATATAAATCACTCGAATTGATTCTATTCTATTTTCTAAGAAAAAAATTTAACGCTTTATTCAATTTAATTTCTTAATCGTTTAAGAATTAAATAATTAGAAAGCTGAATGGAGTTGATATAATGCATGTTTCATATTCACAGGATATTCGGATAAAATCAGTAAATTTTACCAGTATATTCAAGAGATCATTTTGAGTAAAAAATATATTATCATGGTTTAATTCATTTTCAAGATATTCTGGAATATTTTACACTGATTGATGACGATCCATACAAAAAAATTTAAAGAAGTGTACAAAAAGAAAAAATCTTAAATTTTACGTGTCTAATGTATACTATAACATCAATATAAAACATAAAAATAAATAAATATAATTAATAAAAATTAAACAGCTTGAATATATTTGATTATTTATAATTTATATCACTTCCATATTTCTCATAGAAAGAAGAATTAATTCATGATATGTGTAGTATTCGTGAGATAATTTTTTTAGAATGTCAATTCTCAGAAAACTCAAAACAAACAAATAAAAATTCCAATTGAGGCTTATTAATTAAGTTATAAGTTTACGAAGTTTATATTAGAAGCGAGATGGATCAAGTTTCCCATGAATATATTAACACCTTGTATAACATATATTGTTCAGAATGATCTCTAAAAAATATGTTATTATTTTTGCTTTTCCGAAAAACAATAAATATTTTCGTAACATTTTTCTTGCGGGGATGTGATATACGAAAAGATCGAGTGAAAATTCGTGGAAAATTTTCGTCGTCAGTCCGACGAGCCTGAGAGATAAACCTCGTTTCTTTTTTCGATTTCGATATAATTTGGAATTGTTCTTCAAAAAAAAAAATCAAAGAAAAAAGAAAAGAAAAAGACTGAGATTCAGGGTACGAGCGTAATCGTATCGCCTGCATTTGTAGGAATTACGCAAACAGTCGACCCTTGTAATTATCTATCTTTTAATTATCTATCTTTGTAAAACTTGTAAACCATCGTTGACGATTCTCCTCGAATACGAATGCAGCGAATTAATATATTATAGCACGTCATCGTGGAAATTCGCAAAAGATGAGCTTAATCTAGTCAAATTTAATGAGCTATACGAACTATTGAATATATTTTTATCGTAATTCATCGAATCTTATAGAAATGCAATTTTTTTTTTTTTAATTCAATCTCTCTATTTTTTTTTTTTTTTTTTTTTTTTGGAAAATTGATCGATCAAAAATAATAATTCAATCTATATTTCAATTCGATCGCGAATGATCCATAAGATCAAATCAATTGATTTTTAAATATTTTATTTTAATTATCATATTCTATGATAATTATTTTTATGATAAAAACCATATAATAATAATTTATGGTATAATTTAACATTATTTTTTTTAGTTTATTTACGACTCAACAATCTCAATTAAAAATAATTCATCAATTAGTATAATTTTGTATAAAAGTAAAGATAGAATTGAGGCGAAAATTTAAATTCAATTTTTTTTTCTTCCATTTTTATTTAAATAATTATCATTTATAATTTTAATTTTTAATTAGAATGTTCGATGAACTACGATACGAAAGTGTCGCCGATTTTTAATTATCAATTAACAATTACGTGATAAATTTTCTTTTAAAAGGCTGATGCATCGCCGCCACATTGTATACTCTGTACATACAAAAGCAACGATTATCGATTATCACATTCTCCTTTTTCATGTATGTTAACCTGAGAGTGTCCTGTTTTTAAGAGTTGATTATTGTAGTGAATAAGAAAGGGGTAAGAAAGAGAGAGAGAGAGAGAGAGAGAGAGAGAGAGAGAGAGAGAGAGAGAGAGAGAGAAGAAG